AAATATTTTTTGCATTTAATTATTCGTAAACAATTTTTTTTGGGACTGCAAGTACCAGGAATCAAACTCGGGTTCTGTCAAATTTGAAGCTCAGAGCCAGCGCACCATAACCAACTGACCCAAAACCATACTTAACTTTTATGTTATTTTTATGGAGTTCAATTACATTAAAAATAATTTATAAATAAAATTGTTTGTGACATTTGATTTTCGTTTATATTGGATTCACACGACACTTCTGTTTAGCTGTCAACAATTCACATTTTGTATTGAAAGCAACAACAATTAATAGCTAAAATTACAAACATGACGGCTAAAACTACATACAAAACTCTCGTGTTATATTTAGTATTAATAGAACGTTTACATTATTGCAATTTATGTAAATATCTAAGATATTCCGATTTCCTTTATGCTGTGCTATATGTATATCGATATAGCTTGGTTCTTAAGATATCAAAGTTTAAAGGTGAACATTTTTTATATTGTTATACAATAACACAAAAAATTACAAATACTGATCACAAAAAGATCAACTCGGTAAGTCAGCTGTTTTTCATTTTTGTATATATAGCATAGTTGGAAACTTATTTAGAATATGTAAAATTATCAAAATCCATTGTCAAATTGCAACGTCGAAGAAATTTGTTAATGACGTTCTATAATTATAAGTGCAGGCCTTTTCATGATTTTTATATAGCATGATATACTCATGTTAAAATTTTAAATGAAGTAGAGTGTAATCCACTATACTGTTTAGCATAAGTTTAGCATGTTAAATCGAAATTGTAAAGAGGCCTAATTTTAAACGATATATTTTTGATAAGCATTCTTATAATTGATTTGGACCATATCATTCATTAATTGACCTGAATCATTTTAATAATATCTAACTATTTGAATTTCTAGAGTATTTCACAATGCAAGTCATAGTAAGTACTTTTATTATATGGTATACAAATATTATTTTCATAATCATATTTAATTTATTGTAAATTTAATATCAAAAGATTTTAAATCTTTGAATACATCTACATTCCATTTTATTCCATTTTATTGGAACAAGATGATAAAGAAAGATATTTTTTTCATATAATTGTGGACCCTGCGAAAGTAGTTTAAAGAAAAAATTGTGGCCCAAAAAAGTTAACTCTAAACAGACACCAGTAGTATTTTTTATAATAACATGAAATATTTTAATTTAATTAACATTTAGTTAATTGAAACCAAAAGAACTAATAATTTTTCAGTATCGGTTGTGTTTTTATCGAACAATAGCAATAACATAAACAATAGTCGTCCTATAATTTTCTAAGGAGAAATAATAAACAATTCACGTATTACCGATATAGATAAGAAATAAGAGTGGTATTTCTGGCGGGATTTAATGTATGCGTATTTAATCATAATATAAGTACCATCTCATCAAATTGTTTTTAAAAATATATATATATATATATATTATGACAAACAAATAGTAAACTTTCTTTCCAAAATAGTTAAGAGGATATTGAGAGGAGTATGGTGGATAACTCGTCGGAGCCACATATAGACTTGATAGATTCACAGCGACAACGGACAATATTAAGGCAAGTATGATACCTAGTCTAATGAAGTGATAAACAATAATCCAGTCAAGGCGCAAAGAGGGGTTTTGTAGATACCTCGCAGTTAATAGAGAGTAAAAGTGCTCAGGTGCACTGACTCAACTTAACTAGCCTCAACATATATATATGATACATTTCGATATAGAACATTTTCTTTGTTCTGAAAACAAATCTAGTTAACATATAGAAAATTTTTAAATCATTGTGAAATTTGTCAGTAATATCATTTATAAAATATTTTTATTGTATATGACTATATTCTACAATTAGCTTGTCAGCAATTTTCAATAGACTGCAACTTTCCATACGTTTTGGTCAAATTCGCTGCAAGTATTTGGATTGGCTTCGCTTATCTATCTATTTGATAATTCATTGACGCAAAATAAATAAATAAATCTTCAAAATGTTTTCTAAACTTTCCCGTCTTTATGTTTTGCGTGGCGTGCAACAATTTAACTTTGCCGGTTATTATTTCGTTCAACGTTTCAAAGGAGAATGTTCAGGCGACTCAAAGGGTGGAGCCAAGGGCGGAGGCAAGGGTGGAGCTAAGGTAAATATCTTATGTTTTGTATATTATACGAAGTTATATATGTAACTAATTAAGATATATAATTAATTTAATTTAGGATTATTAATTTAATTTAATATAAATTTGTTAATTTTATTTTTTATATATAAATTTATTTTCTCATATTATTTCATATTAAATAATAAAAGAGCTATATGAGGAAAAGGAACTATGATAAAAGCCTCACAATTATATAAATGAGAAAAAATTAATTTAAATTAAAGCGAAATTTGTTGATTAGCAAAATTTAAATATTTTTTCTTTGTGTAGTATTTGACAATTCGATTGTCAGCTGTTTCCAAAAGAATGTAGTCTGTGATGCCTTTTGGCCAAAGTCGGTGTGTGTGTGTACGTTGGGTTTGCTTATCCGAAGTTTGAGATAGTTGAGATTACGGGTATATAAACTAATCTTAAAAATGTTGTTTTCGAATCTTTCTCGTAATGCTCCTCGGGGTGTACAACAACTAAAAATCGGTGGATGTTATTCTGCTTTGAGATGCAAAAGCTCGAAGGTATGTTTATTAGATTTTGTAAATTTTGGGAAGTTATGTAATTAAGTAATATATAACAAAAATGGTTAACTTTATAATATTTTAATATCTATATTAATATAATATTAATATCACATATTAAAAAGTAAGATGCAGCTTTAGTTTGTTACATTCATCTAATTGGTAAAATGTAGTCAAGCGTTGACAGATTTTTTGTGTCTATGTGTGATTCCTAATTATAAAATATGGAATGAAATATGAAATGTGGTACTTAATCA